ATTAGGGAAATTAGTGTTCTAATCCTTATCCCCTCTATATAACCTCACTTTTATGAGACACTGCTGTTCATAATCTTCTACCATCATTCTCTGTTAACACCTTACAAATAAATGTATTCAGCATCACAAGAATGATAATATAAAAATGGGCCTTCGTTTCAGTAAGAAGTTTTGGGTTCGTTAAAAAGACAGCGTTATATTTCAGACATAATCCAACCCACTCATTTCCTCCTGTTCAACTCTGGGCCAAATTAATTGTTGAATAGAAGTGTCTTCTGTCCAAAATGGGTGTATACACATGCACAGTCTGTGTAACTATTATTACAGGTTTCCTTTGTAACTCTATGTCTTTTATATTATATTATCTATTCATCTGTGGAATGAAGACACATGGTTATATACCTACAAATACATGTCATATGTAAGCATACATATATACATGTATATGCACATATGTGTGTTTGCAACTATACCTTGAGAAACTTTTTCAAAAATCTAGATCAACTAAACCAATAGCATTTTCCTTGATAACTCTGTGAAAAAAGGATATGAGGTTAGTCTGGCATAATCTGCTCTTGATGAAGTCACGCTGGTTTTTTGTGATTGCTGTACCTGTCCTTTATACAGTCACTATGTTTTTAATAATCTATCCTAGAATTTCTTCAAGTCAAGGAACATTTATTAAATGCTTATTATGTGCCAGGCAAAAACACAAGCAGAAATATAGCCTCTGCTCTCAAGTATCCATAGAAAGAAACTGAAAAATGGGAGTGGAGGGGAGGTATAGAGAAGATGAAGGTACCTGGGGGCATGGTGGAGAAAGTCTAGGAGAGTGGGAAGTACAACTTGGAGAGGAAAGAAGCTATTGCTGGTGCTGAGGCCCTCCTTAAAATGTTGGTGCTGGAGGAACTAGGCAATCAGAGAGAGAGGGGCTGCATGGATGTAGGGTACTTCCACTGTTTAAAGTCCAGGGGTGAAATGAGCTTCCAAGGGCAAGTGATCTTCCAGGGTAAAGTCTCTCAAGGACCTGGAAAGTACTTCATTTGGATCTGGTGACTTGAACTCTTCAGAGACAGCCAAACATACCGTCTTCCTACTTGGGTTTCAATCCTTTATCAGCCATTTTTCCTATTTCCTGGTTTCCTTCTCTGATCCTTCTGATCCAGTGCCACCATCTGCACAAGGCTTTTCAGGATCTCTCCCCTGCCCCCTCCCCCACCCAGTTGTCACTGGCTTATTACCAAGATAGGGGTGTGCTGGAATCAGTTTATATTGGATTCCAGAGCCAATTGTTAAATTTTCAGCTTATTTACACTTTATAGTAAACTCTACACATCTTGGCTTTCATTGTTTCGTTGATTGTCTAGACTCTAGACTTAAGGAAGTGATGAAGAAAATGTTAAGAATACAAATTAAACTATAAGTGTGTCATGCCTACTCCCTGCCCCACCCCCAAGCCAGTTATTAAACATTTACCAGCATATCTCTGAATGTAAGGTCCTTAAGGATTGTTATGCTTTTGTCTTTGCATACCTGATGCCTACTGGAGGAGTAGGCATTTCATCAATTCTTATTCATTAATCAACAATGGAACCCTTTGAAATTTTTCTCCTAAAATTCTATGGCACATAACAGACAACTGCTGGTTTCCCCCTACTATATCACAAATTCTAAGAGATGATGTAATCATTTAACCTCAAGGTCCCTATCCCAGGAACCAATTTCTCCTTGTTGAGGATAAAGTCCAAAATCCAAGTTTTCCTTATTAGTTTTTCTAATTTTTGAAAGATTAATTTATCATTGAGGCAAGTCAAAAAATTATTTTAATTGCTTTGGTTTTGGCAGGGAACTATAGCAGATGTCTGGATAATTGAAGCCCTCTCTCACCCCATCCCCTCTCCATTCCCATCATTGCTATTTCAATGCCTCATCTCTGTGCCAGGCTTATGATCTGTTTCCCAGATTCTCTGATGAAAATAGGTTTTATTCCTGCCTCCATTTAATATATATATATATATATATATATATATATATATATATATATATGTATGCATGTATATATATGTATGTATATATATATACACACACACATATATATACACATATATACATATATACATATATACACACATGTATATATGTATATGTATGTGTATGTATATATCCATATCTATATGTGTGTATTAAACATATATGTTCATATGCATATATATATATATATATAATACTAGCAATATCACACCCCATTGGGTCTCCTCTGCTCCTGTTGAATAAGGTACACCCTTCTAAGGCTATATTCCATTCATAGGTTCTTAGTGAGACATCAGTGACCCCAAATTCAGGTAGAGGTGGAAGGAAACAAGTTATCAGTGAATAAAGCAGTTAATACACTTCAAAATAACAAAGAAGTTACTGAATCAAGTCCATATAACACTAGGGATAGGTAGAAATTCCAATTATCTGAATATTTGTGAGACTATCCAACTGATTTGAATCTCAATTTCCCTAATACTTAAATTCCCATATTGAAGTGATGTGAATAATGCAATGTCTAATTTTGAATACTCTATTGATGATAAATGTTGCATAGAATCGTGAAAAGTAGTAGCACATAAATTTAAAAAAAAAACTATTACTGTTTGCTGGTGGAAAAACCAACATAAAGTAAGGAGTAACAAAATCACCCAAAAAAAGGCTATATGGAGAATTAATTTTCCATTAGAACATTACCACTCACTTAAGCTTTTGTATATCCAAACTGTTGGTGATTTTTTTTATATCATCAGAGCCCTTTTTATATACATAGACAGAGACATACAGTTGTTCGAGAAAAAGAACTATGGGGTCAGGATGCAGATGGAAGCATATTATTTGCTCTTTTTTTTTGTTTTTGTTTCTTCTTTCTCATGGTTCCATTGATTCTAATCCTTCTTTACAACACGACTGGTGTGAAAATATGTTCAATATGAATGTATATGTAGAACCTATAACAGACTGCATGGCATCCTGGGGAGGCAGAAGGGAAGAGAGGGGGAGAAAATTTAGAACGCAAAAGCTTATGGAAGTAAATGTTGAAAATTAAAAACACATTAATTAAAAAAAGACATACATTTGCACACCTATCATTTAACAGATCACAAAGATGATAGCAGTAATAAACCATAATCTAGAAAATATCAAAATGACATCATCAAATTAATGTGAAGGGTAGATTGGTGTGTGTGACTTTAGGTTTTTGGGTTTTTTTAAAGCATCATTTACACACATTTCTCATAGAAGTATGCTGAGCCCCATAGTTCAAACCAAAGCCAAAATGATTTGTATGAGTTCTAACTCTGGCTTTGGTTGACATAAAAAACAACAACCCTTGATGGAATTATTTCCTTATAAATCATTGCAACCCATCTATTATGTTGCGGCTGTATTTTCTCTTTACTGACAAAATGTCTAATCTTTGCATCATACTCAGTGAAAGCTGTGTTCTTATAAGCATATATTTTAGGTGGTCTTTGAACCATTTACTAAACACTGATTATGTTCTCAATCAGAACTCGGGTAAAATAACGATAGTAGCAATAACAATTTTTCTTATTGTCCACTGTTAAATTACACAACCCAAAGAGAGGCAAGGACCTGATGAATGTGGATAGGGCAGATAACTTAAATAATTGATCAAAGTGGAAAGAGACCTTTGGCACCAAAGAGGGGTGGGGAAGAATGCCTCACATTTAAATAGTTGCTTTAATTTTTTAAGTGTTTTCCTTCTAAAATAATCTAGACCTGAGATTTCATTTCCCTGTGTGGAAATTCCCTTCATTCATAAAGATCAGCAATTTATCTATAACTGACATGGAGAGTTTCCTGGTACCCCTGAGAAACTGATTTCCCCTTAATCATACAATCAGTATGATTTAGGGGTCACATTAGAAGCCAGGTTTTCTTGACTCTAAAGCCTGTCCCCTAACCACAACCTCACATTAACTATCTATATTATTTGTCGCCTTATCTAATCTTAACCATAATGAAATGATGTGAATAATGCAATGTCTAATTTTGAATACTCTATTAATGATAAATGTTGCATAGAATCATGAAAAGTGATAGCACATAAATGAAAAAACCATCCCCATTTGCTGGAAGAAAAACCAGGCAGAATCCTAACCAAGATGAAGTGAAGCAGGCATTATCTCCATCATACAGAGAGAGTCAGTGATATGCCCAAGAAATAAGCTAGATGTAGAGACAGGTTTTGAACCATGCTTCCTGACTCCCAACCTATCATTTCCTCTGGAATACACAGAGTATGTGTATATCTGTATGTAAAGTGGCCAATAAATCCTGCACGAACTGAAACAATCAGGACCATTCAAAATTGTTAGGATTATTGGCTCTGACTTCAGAGGAGCTGGGTGGATTTTTGGTTTTTGCTTATCTTAGTTTGCTATCTGCTAGAAACCTATATATTTCCAAATGGGCTGCCATTCTTTGGTAAGATATGTATAGTTTCTGAAGAAATCTTTGGAAACATACACGCATTTTCTCTTTGGTAGAATAGTTCAGAAGCCAATAAAAATTCTTTAGTCAATAGTAGTGAAACGCTAAATCTGATGACAGCCAGTGATGGTGGTGGCAGACCCAGACCCAGATGCTTACTCGACTCACCCTTGTTCCAGCTCCCATGTTAATAGGCAGCAGTAGAATCATCTGATTATACACACTGATGTTCCCAACACCAAAAAGAGCTGTGTATATCAACTTCTTCAGGTTTTATGTTGTTGGCAAATCAGGACCAGAATTGATATGTAATCATAAAAGGCCATATACTTTGCTTTGGCAGAAGACATTAACATCCTTGCATTCTGGCTCTCAGATATATGTTTCAAGCTCTGCATAGTTATTTTGTATTAGAACAAAAACTATCATGAAAAGATGAGTCATTTTAAGGAAAGAAATACAGTCATTACTCATCTTCCAGACATAGGTCAGACACAAGCAGTGAATGTAGTATTCATTATTACTTTATTAACAATGTGGCTTACAATTTTTCAAGTAAAAAGGGGATTTTTTTTCATTTAGAATAAAAATTAAAATATAACTCTGAATATAGATTTTCATTTATTTACATGAAAACATATATACAGAATACAATCTTACAGCAAACTAACAGCATGCCCTTTGTCCTGCAAATTTCAAAAGTAAAAACACCATCAATTTTCTCTTTCACACACCAAAAAGTACACAACATATGAATCAAATTTCAATACAAACTATTCAAACTGGAATGCAAAACAGCAAAAGGGCTTTCAACATTTGCCACTAGAAAGAGTTTATGCTTCTAAACATCATGCTATTTCCCATTTTTGGACAATAAATGAAATAATTTTTCTGTCATTTTTCATTTGTCTCAATTTCCCAGCATACAAATTATTATTATTATTATTATTAGCAAAAGATTGTCATCCTACAAGTTTATTTTTTTCTTCAATACATCTTTTCCATCCATATGGGACCTTTGTAATTCCTGGTTAAGGTTTGGCACTGCTTACAATTCTCACTGTTATATGACCTTAACCATTTTCACTGATAGTTTAAGAGAAACTAAATGGAGATAACTTGGAAAATCATACTAAGTAGCATTTAAAATAAAGGAACAAATGTGAGCAAACTTGGCCAGAACTGAAAGCAGCATCCTGTGTTGGCATTTTTAGTGTGTTAGCAAGATGTTTGGGTAAAGTAAGTGGTTCAAACCAGACTAATTAGGATTCAAACCAAAATATTTAGTGGGCACACAGCATATTATGACTCTGATGGTTGAAAGTGGGAAAATACATAGTCTGCAGAATTCAACCACAGCAAATTTATTTAATTTAAAGGGAGGGTGATAGATTTTCAGCATGTTTTCTTATAAGAAAAATTGCACATTCCTAGTATGAGAACACCTTACATCATTGTTGCCACTTTTCTATAATTTTCATTTGTTTCTGAATTATTATTGCACCAAAGAGAAAATAAGAATATCTATGTTTCTCCAAATAGTTCTTCTTTAGAAACCATGGACGTCTTGCTTTATCTTGTCCCTTCAAATATCTGCGGCCTCTACTAGTTTTGTAAAAGTGGAAAAAAAAATCATCTCATGATATCTCTGTCAAAAAGTGACTCTGATGATCCAAATCACAGCAAAGTGGTTTTTAACAGTTTCTTTTTTCACTTTCAATTATACAAATGCAAATATAAACTGTTCTTAAAGTATGAAAGCCCCTAGGGCTTCCAAAATGTGGCAACTTAAGGAGAAACATCTTAGAATGGGGTGTTTGCTGCAAGATACAAAGGCAAGACTCAATGTTCTGCCTGATTTAACCCTCACAGCTCTTAGAGGAAGATTAGGAAATTCTACTCAATCCTTGAAGGGCAGAAAATGATTCATTTCCTAAAGCTAAGTATTAGCCTGCACCACAGGCTTGGATCATTACAACTTATTGAGAAGCAACTGAGAATAAAAAGTTTTCTAGTGTAGTCCAGGGGCAAGGGGAGGGGTGGTGATAAAAAAAAAAAGAGGCAGGAATTTTTAAATTTTATGTCTACATCAAGTTTTGCTAACTCACATCATGTTTTAGATATGCTATGGGAGCTTATTCTATAAAAGAACTTTAGTGAATTCTCTTATACAGAATCTTTTATCATGACAATATTATTCCCATTATTTATCTTTTTTTTAAAATTACATTTCCCTTAATTTTTCCTTTGCATAGCTATAGTCCACACCTGTATTAAGGAAACACATATATATTGTACTCTCTCTCTCTTTCTCTCTGTATGTATATATGTATTGAGGAGAGGAAGGGAGGGGAAATTGAATCCTTCTGGTGGGGTATAGCAACAGTCAAGGACTTTTTTTTTGGGGGGGTTTGCCAAATTGCCCAAACTGTCTCTGTACGGAACAGGAGGGGAATTAAGTCAGGTTTTAAGGGCAGCGACTTGTGTCATATACACTGGACTAAAATACTGGGGGTGAATCTGGTCTCGAAAGTACGGTATGGAGGAGCTAAGAAAAAGCACTCTTTGGAGAGTGGTGGAATACCATAAGATCATACCTTTTAGCTTGAGAGGGGCACAAAGAGGCTGCAATTAGAAGTTTGGGAGAGGGCCATAATGGTAATGATGGTAGACTGAAGAGTTTCCCTGTCCTTCTAATTAGCAGTAGTAGAGAGGAAAAAATTAACTGGTCTTCAGAAACTTTTATCCATTTAATAGAAATGGGGAAAAATCATATCTAAAGATGTATTTGTGTATGTGCTGGGTTTTTTTTGGGGTGGAGTCATGTTAGCTGTGTTATAATTTGGGGAAATCAGAACGTACACATTAAATTTAAGAACCAAAAGTTCTGGAAGATATTAGCAACTTCATTGAGAAGGGGGACAGCGTTGCACAGTAGCATCCCAAACTAAAGGGAAGAAACCTTCCAAAATCCCTCACTTATTTGAACTCTGTGGTCCTAAAATGAGTTGCTTTTTCCCCAAGGGCTGTGAGGATGATCACAATGGAAGACACTCTAATTAAACCAATCATGGACTTGACTCTGAGACTGTGTCCACTTTCTCCAACTATACGCATACAAAGGTCGAGTCAACAATACATTCACCCCATTCTTCTCTTGTTGTCTGGTAGAGAATATGGGGAGAAAGTAAGTCATAAAGATAAAGAAAATCACTGGCATGTAGTTCCATGAATCCAAGCCAAAGCTGGGCATCCATTTAGAGACCAGCCCAGCTTTGATTTATGGGCTTCATTAACACATCCTTTGGTCATGGTGATGTCTTGCCCTTCTCTCTCCAATCCCTTTCTACTTTCTGGAAACGGCAAGAGAAGTTGATATTGATACTAAAATGCTGTAGATGACTCATTCCTTCATATCAGTTTAAGTGAAACAGAAATGGCATGTTTAGAAAAGGCCACAGAGAGAACATCATAAGGAAATCTGCAGAGAGAAAAGGCCAGAATTCTTGACATCTCTCAGCAATGTTTAACTTCATGATACAGTATTCTGAGCCAAAGAAGCTGAGGACACGGGGCTAAAAGACCCAAAGGGAGATCAAAACTAGCTTGGAGAATTCAGTAAAACACTACTACAAAGCCAATGATGCATTACAAAGCATTTTTCTAGCATTATGATGTCAACAAGCATTGTTATACATGATGCTCCACCAGGGTTCTCTACACAAAAGTCCACTCACTGAAGATTTGTAACAGCTGTAAACACTAGCTTTAGGCTCAGGCAAACACATCTCAATAGCAGAAGATATACATGTAACTTCTCACTTTTGTCTATGCCAGTCCCAAAATGCTGATTAAAGGCCAGCATTTCTAATCTGACTTGCCAGAGAAAGTTTAACCAATGAAATATTCCCATGGTGGCTACAGGAGTGAGCCCAGATCACAGTTATATACACTGCCAGTGCTGAGATCAAATTTTGGGTGGGGAAAGATCAAAATAGTTATTTTAGATAAGGCAGTAACTGAAGATGCGAAGCCACTGTTGTAGAGCTCAACTTTTGAATAATTTAAGACTTGTCACTAATTTAAAATATTTTTCTAAAAAAATCAGTGGATTAAAATCACAATGGGTTATAATATTCTTTAAGAAATTTCCATGTCTTGATGAATGCTTGAGTTATCGATTGGATCTCATGGATGATTCTTTTGGTCCAAGAGCACTCTTATCCTGGAGCCACACAGAGGTCTATATAGGTGGTCTCCTTCTTTAAATTCTTAATATTTGCATAATGTTCCAAGTTGGTCAGGTTGGGGATCTGGATGGAGCTGTGGCTACAGTGTTACTGGGGGATGGGTTATCAGGTCCAGTTTTGTCTACCCAGATAATGCCATTAAGAGAATGGAGAGCAAGTGAATAGAAAGCAGAGGACTTTTAGTTCACAGTAATCATTGTTACATGTCCCACTTATTGTGCTGGAGTGATCTGTGAAATCTGGGCTATCTAACCAAAACAAAGCCGTGCCAAGCTGATAGGTAACACACTGTGGAACTCCACCCCAAGGAACTTCAGGTTGTCTGTGGCAGAAGTCTCAAATAACACCTCATCTGAAACATTCCATTTCCTTATTCTGAGATGCTTAAGTAATTCCTTTCGACATGTTGTCCTGTAGTTCAACTTCCTTAGAAGAATTATAAGAACCCCCTCCCTGATCTGGTTACAGACAAATTAAAGGGAAAAAGCTTGTTTCATTAAGAGTTGTGAACACTATGTGTCTCTGCATACTTTTTCTAGATTCTACTCTCCTTTCCCCATGCTCACACTTTTCCTAAGAGCGCTGACAAAATTAGAGGATTAGTTGGTCTTTCTCATAATCACATCCTGTTTTAATATATATTTATCAACACTAGTGTCATAAATGTGACAGAAATGTGTTGATCACTAGGATCAAATTGCAGTGGTAAAAGTCACTTGAAAAGGTGATCACACATTTCAATATGAAAGAAGTGTGGACAAATTTGCTTGAGGCTTATTTGTAGCTCTTTTTTTTTTTAATTGCCTGGTGTAGGTATCCCACATAACTGCAGAAAAAAACAGCACTGACTCCTAACCTTTCTCTCGAAAGGTGTAGGAAACGTCAATCAGAAGGCGCTGTGGGTTTAGTGGGAGAAGGGGAGCAAGGTTCCCTAAGCTTTTGCTATATTATGGGATGCCACAATAGAAAACAGCAAGTTATACTCTCAGAAAGCAGTCGCTGTGGTATTTCAGTGTGCTTTGAAAAACAGACACATATTAAATAAATGCAGGGGAGGGGGTCAGAGGTTGGTTGAGGAGTTTGGGTCTTTCTCACACTGAGATTTTTCTTAGTGCTTCAATTTCAAATGTCTGTAGGTGAAAGAAAACCTGTCCCCAAATGGCCCGTCCCCCATGCAGGAATCCTCCGAGATGGGAAGGGCTGAAGTTAGTTGGCATATTGTGCATAGAATGCGACTTTAACTCTTTCAATCTGATGGCAAAGCTTGATGGCAGGTCCCAGTTTCAGCTCCATGCACTCCTGCACTGTGGGAAGTGTCAACAGTAGAAGCGCTTGGCCGTCAATATCCTGGCAGAAGGAAAAAAAAGTTAGAATATGGGTTCTTAAATTCTTTTCTATCATGGACTCCTTTGACAGTCTGGTAAAATCTATGCTTTTCCTAAGAATAATGTTTTTAAATGCACAAAAATAAAATTATTTTCAAAGGAGACTAATTATACTGAAACAGTTTTTAGAAAGGAAAAAAAAAATTCCTGGACCTTAGGTTATGAACTGCTGGATTAGGGAGAGGAATGGTTAGGGAGAGGCTGGAACACTGTTGTCCAAGCTAGGTCCCTGGTCAGGTTAGAATGCTTTCTCCTTTGGAGAAAGTCTGAAGAACACTGGTTACTCTGAATCCAATGGGAATTACAAGAGAACTTAGCTTGAATTTCTCACCTTTATTTAGGTATATGGCCTAAAAAGAGTCTTATTTAAACCTATTCATCAGTTATAAAGTTCCTATTTCCATAGCATTTGTGTATCTTGAAACAAAGAATACCACCCAGGAGGTGAGGGGGAAAAGGTTTGTCATGGGAAGTTGTCATAGAAGGTCTAAAATGTCACACACTCAGCTATCTCTGTCTCCACAGATACTACGCACCTCCTGTATGTGTACTTGACCCACACAAGGAATGTGCCCCGAAGAAGGATTCCCTGTCTTGTTCAGGCCTGACTTATCACCATGGAAAGTCAGTTCTTTGGGTCTTAAAAAGAAATTTTTTTTTTTGGGCAGCGAGGTGGCACAGTGGATAGAGCACTGGCCCTGGAATCAGGAGGACTTGAGTTCAAATCTGGCTTCAGACCCATAATACTTCCTAGCTGGGCAAGTCACTTAACCCCAATTGCCTCACCAAAAATTGGGAGTGGGGAATGTTCATAAGTATTTGATGAAGTAGGATTAACAGCTAGCTAGAAGCAAGGTAGACTAAAGGTGGGAGGAGGAGCCTTGGAAGAAGAGTGTGAAGGCACCAAAGTCAGGGAGGGAGGGGGAACTGCAAAAGAAAGTAGGAAGATACCAAAGACATCTCACCTAACCCAACTTTTGTTAGGACCAGCCTGAAGTGTATACGTATACACACACACACACACACACATACACACACACACGTGCGCGCGCGCACACACACACACACCCCTCTGACAGAAATGTCTTTTTGTAGAATGGAATTCAGAGGTAAACTTAAAAATTTAAGAAAACTCTTTGACTGGATAAGCACTGACCCTACTGTGAACAGATGCCAAAGTCTAGCATAATGTGGATTTGGTTAAGTGGTGCTAACCAGTTTCGCTTCCCATTACACTTATCTGGTATAGATGTGACTGTAGTCAAGAACCACTACGAAGCTGACAAGCCAAGGAGCTGCTACAATTAATGGAAAAGACTATGCAGATTTTTTCCCCCTTAAATAATATAGACAGAGGCCCTAAAATCTTTTAAATATGGTTTCTTCATAACCAAGTCTCAAAGAGATTTTAGGTTGCTCCTCTGGAAATGGAAATCGGGTGGCTGAACTATAATTAGAACTTCATAGCTTCTGAAACTTCCAAGCTTATCCCAGGCATTGGGTGACATGATCTAAGCTATAATCATGCAAGTGCAATTAACATATAAGACATGGCTAATGTCCACCAACAAACAGCAAATTATTTGTTTTGCCTGTGTGAAGACTTCTGCTTCAAAGTAATGGTTCTTGACTTTAACTGACTTAGCACAAAATGGTGTTTAAAACAAAGTTCTACCAACCTTGGGAACAAACTTCCATAAGCACAGGGATCATTTATTTCTCACTTGGTCTAGCTCAAAACTGTCATCTTTATGTGCTAACACGCTAAAATAATGAAAACAACCAAATTTGCAAATAAACCAGAAAGCTGAGTATACATCAATAGCAGTTTTGTCTATTAATTTTCTTCATTGCTGACAAACACTAGGCATGACATATATCGAGAAGTCACTATCCTAATGCTAAAGATGCAGAGTTGTCACAGACTCTTCAAACTGCAAAGGACCTCAGGGAATTACTGTGCTGCAGTTCATTTGTAGAATAAAGGGTCTGATCTAGTTATCTCTAAGATTCAAATATGATTGCATTTGAGATTGTAAATTACAAATACCAGCCCAAATCCAAACCTGACACCATCAGCTTAAACTACTAGAAACTTCAATGTCTTATTTACATTGTGTCTTATAATGCTTATTTATACTTATAGCATCTAATTTTATTTTCAGAACATGCCTATTAGTGCCTAGCAGACAGGTAAAGTTATGTGCAAAAGGTTATACCTGCAGCCTGCCAAAGGATTTGGGGCATTTTTCATGAGTTGCCCAAAATCCTTTGGTGGGCTGAAGTGCGCAGGCCTGTTATACAGTAATTCAATGACACAACATCAACCTTTGTCACCTGATTTCAGATGCAAATATATGACACCTGGGATGGCTAATATCTCCAGTAGTAACCCTCAAAGCAAGTATGATGAAAATTTTGTTATCATTCATGTTTAATGTTAAGAATAAGCTAGTATTTATTTACCACTTTAAAGTTTGCAGAATACTTTGCAACCATAATCTCATTTTATCCTCACAACGACCCTCAGAAATAGATGCTATTATTATCTGCATTTTACAAATAAGGAAACTGAGGCACAGGTTCATTTACTGGTCCTAGGACACACCCTTACTAAGTCTCTGAGGCAGGATGTGAACTCGGGTCTCCCGGCTGCCAGGTCAAGTACTCTTTCTGCTGTGCTACCTGACTGGTTTATTGTGAGTCTACTCCGCCTACTACCCTTAGATGCTGAGAATGGAAAACTTAAAAATGATCTGACAGTTCCCTTGTCCAAATTCCTCTATTACTGTCAAAGGGAATCACCATCTTCCCCATCAGTCAGTCTTGTAATCTTTGTGTCATCCTCAATTCCTCACTTCATATTCATCCCTTACATCTAATCCATTGCTGAATCTGGTACTTTTCTACCTGAATATATCTAATGTGTACCTAATTATTTTTATCATTGGAATGTGAGCTCCTTGAGGGCAGAGACCTCTCTGTATCCTCTGCAGCCCCTGATGCACTGTGCATGCACTTACTAAATGGCTTGTGGCTTGACCTAAATGAAATGTGATCTTGGATTCAGAAGGCGATTCAGTGCTTCGCAAGGACTCTGAACATCAATTATTAGTACATAGTTGTATAGAGGGTGTAGAAATTGCTCCCCTCACCCCTTTTAAATATCATAGATTCAGTTAACTTTCCTGTCAAAAAAAATCTTTCTATTAAAATATGTTGGAAAATGGACCTCCCAGGATTAAGCTATTTCAGCTTTTCTGAAGGTAGGTAGGTATATAAATGTACATGTTTGGAGTATGAAATGAAATGCATGCCCATTTTGGAAGGGTGGCTGCAATAAAATTTCAGAACTAAAAAGAAAATATGTAATTCTTGCAAATGCTTCTTTTTTGCTTATGGCAATTCATTAGTTAAATGTATATGGCTATTCTATTTTTTAAAACTGTGATGTCTACCAGGGAATAAGACCTAGGGAGATGATATGTTTTATTTAAAATATCTGAGGGTTACCAGCTGGAAGTCTCAGTGAAATCAGGGTCTTAGTGTTTGGCCCAATAAATGTCTTTGCCTTAATGCTCACTAATTAGTTAAGTAAGGTAATCAAAGGTCTAAGTGAGCAAAAAAAGGGTCAAATTGCCCATTTACATTAAAAGCTCTGTAGGTAACAGCTTTCTACTATGATAAGCAAAATGCTTAATATTAAAGTTGATTCTAAATATGAATAAACATACCATCCCTTAAAGCTACTTTACCTTCCCCTTTTAGTGGGGGAAAAAACCCTAATATTCTCAACTGTCAGTAACTGGACCCAAATTTTCTAACTGAAGCTGGAAGGGCCACATGGATGACCAGAAATAGCACCTAATGACCCTAAAAGTAGAATTGGGATGCGAATAAATAACAATGTAGCAAAGTAGGACCCTGAATTTGGAGTCAGAGGATCTAGGTTTGAATTTATAAAATGATGGGGTTACTGTTCCCTAAGGTCTCTTAAGTCAGGATCCTATGAACTCAACTTTATGTGATTAACCTAGTAAAGTTCAAAACTTTCTATTCCATTTTCATGCCCCAAATTTCACAAAGTAGACTATATTTAGAGTATATAGGGTATGTATGTAATTTTGGGGCTTCCCCTCCCCTTCAAATTTTCCATTTTGAACTAAATGACTATTATTTTAATCTATTTAAATTAGCAGCTGGATAGTAAAGCATCCATTTCTTGTTTTTGTCTTAGTTACTGCACACAGTTTTCTACAGGTTGTAAATTAGAACAGAGTTATTAGTTCCAGCCCTTCACCTAATCTGGAAAGTAACCATTCAGTTTGCAGTTTTATCAGTAGTTCTGCCTGAGTAGTAAATGTTTCTCCTTCTTTAAGTGGGATAGGGTGGAAGTAAAATCCTGGATAGAAGTATAGATAGCCCTTGTTTCAATCTGATAACCTTGCCCACCATACTTGGTTTACTATTAAAATGGAGAAGCGTCTATATACCAACAGATGATAAATCAGATGAGCTTTGACATCAGGTTTTTGTTGATTGTGTTTCATGTTATTTGTGTTACTTCTCCTGCCTGGAGTATTCTATGCTGGCAGAAGTACATAGTGTCTGTTACAGAAACCCAAGTTTCTAAATCAAGGGTTCTTAATTTGGTGTTCATAGCTACATTTCAAGGGGATCCATGAACTGGGATGGTGAAAAAAATTACATTTTTATTTTCACTAATCACTAACCTCTAATTGAAATGTAGTATTTCCTTCAATTATGAATTTAAAAAAAAAAACCACTTTATTGGGTCCACAGGCTTCATTCACCAGACTGCCAAAGGGAGTCAAGACACCCAAAAAGGTAAAGAATCCTTGTTCTGAATGAACACTTTTGCTTATCTAGAACACAGTCCCTGATGTTTGGACCCTCCAAGGCAAAACGTTATTGACACAAGAAAATACCCAACATTCTTCCCTCCTTTAAAAACAAACAATAACAATAATAACAAAACTGCCCCTACTTTGGGCCAGCAGGAATAGGTTAATAAATTTCACGTCCTTTCCATTCCTTAATTTTCCTAGCCTAATGGTGGGACTTTGTATGAAACCATGGAATTTTTCCCACTAGTAGACAGAAGGATCCACTACCATTTTATGGTGTCCTTTGAGAAGAAGGCAACTTGCAAATCTCTATGAAAAATTTGGTAGCTTTTCCCCCCTTTATTGTTTATATGTTCATAATGACAAATTATAGACATAATGGCTTTTTTCTGATTTACTTCTGTTAGGACAATTGAAAACGTGCTTTTATTCATGCTACACACAGACACAAAATATTTTTTTAAAAAATGGAAATTCAAGTAAAAATTACTTTTTATACTAAGGAAAACGGTTTAATAAAAAATGTGAAAATGTAGATAATTTGCTATAGTGAGCATACATTGTGAAAAGAAATACTCATTTGCTTACATTTGAACTTTTATATAAGGCTAGCAAGTCAGCCATGGGTGGTAATCACACACACAAAAAAAGTGCCTTCAAGGCACAATGCGAATTTCCTTATTTTCTTGCTGGGGGGTAACTAGCAAAATATTAATATTATCTTTTTGTAAGAGACTAGAAAGAAAATGCTACAAACGGAACAAATTAAGAGAAATGTGGGTCTCAGTTTTTCCATCTGTAAAACGAGAGGATACTTTCTAGCCCTACACTTCTATGATTCTTCTCTTGAAATGCTGAGAAAATGCCATTTTCAGGTTGCACAAACAGAAGATGTTATTACAACTTTTTGGCAAGGCCCTCACAGATAGCATACTCACACTTTCTGTAATGAAATAACAAACCACTAAAAACTGCAGCAATACCATAGTCCATGCTGGCTGGAGAAGGAAATGAAGACTCATGAAATAAATCTGAGTTGGACACAGGCCTCAGGAGTCACCTTGCCCAATTCACCTGAGTAATAATTCCAACTACAATATACCTGATAAATGGTCAAATAAGATGAAATTAATTTTTTTTAAAGTTTATTAAGCATCTCCTGTGTTCAAGTAAGAAGCAAAAAAAAAATGTAGCATACCTGTTCCTGAAATATTTTGGCCAAGGGAGCACAATCTGTCAGTTTAATAAACCTCACAACATCTGTCACTGTCCATTCTAATGGGTTACTCTCCAGAATAAGCTTCTCCTCCTCTTCATGTTTTACTTCCTACAGGAATGTAAAAAGGAGTAAAAGGAAATGATAAACATTACAGGAATACTCTTGATTAATTTTGAAAACCACTGAACCAAACCCTCCCAAACATATGACATTGGTGGTATATAAGATACCTTTGGAAGCTGCATTAACTTTCTCCAGTCCCTAGAGCCAGAAAGTTTAATTTAGCAGTCTACTAAATACACAATAACCAGGGTCAGGATCTTGCCTTTAGGGGCCGATAGGGCTTCAGAGCATGACACACAGAAGCAAAAAAAACAAAAACAAAAACAAAAAAAAAACCCACAGTACATATGGGCTACTTAATGTACCACACGTTAATGAGAAGGCAGGAAGTTTTAGCCCTACAGCATAAATAAGCAAACTGTGGTACAAAGAAGATTGATGATTTGCTAAAGTTGATGGCAGAAGACGCCATGGAACATGTGCTTGTCTTTGTGGACAACAAACAGTGATGTGTATCCAGACCTATTCAGTGCTTGTTCTGAAGTCTGATATTCCACTTCCATGAAATATGTCAAAAGTGTGTGGTATACCTCACTACTTGCAGATTTACCACTTGGCTATACATGCAAAAACAGAACCCAAAATGCAGAGGTTATGAACAAATATATGGAGACATAGCCAGAAAAAATTCTGTAAACCCAGATTCAAAGGGTGCTTGGGACATCTAACCCACTGCAGACTGATGGGGTTCTCTTCCATTTTTAAAGCCTCAAAAGGTCCTGTAACTCTTTCCAGTCACTTGTTCTGATGTTCAAAACCTCCCAACAGAATCCTACTCTTTGGAAGGACTTCAGAGGTCATCTAATCAAACGTGTACTGGAACAGGAATCATCTCTCTAACATCCCTGACAAGCAGCATCCTTTCAAGCACCTGTTCCCTCTGAGGCAGCCCAATTGCTTCGATTTTTTTCCTTTGCATGGAAGTGAAACCTGCCTCTCTGCTCCTTCCAACTCCTGCTTCTCATTCTGCCATATGGGGCTCTGTTGTCTGTGTCAGCCCTTCAAATACTTGATGACAGCTGTCCTGTCCTCCCTTAATCTCCCCTTCTCCAGGCCAAATGTCAAATACTCTTTTACTTCTATGCCTACGTCGGGAGCTAGTACGTCACCTCTGTCCTCTCCTGTTTGACTTGGGTGCACTTCTCTCCTTCGGCACAGGAGAACGTCTGCGCTTTACGGCTTCTCCTGGCTCTTTCCACGGGAGGGGGTCGATCTAATTCTGTGCTGCTCCGTAACGTGACGGCTCTCCGGGGACGGGCAGAGGGGACATCAGCTGAGGAAGTGTCGGTCTGGTCATCGCGAAGCTCTGAGCTGGTTTCCTCACTCCCTGTGTCCTCTTCCATGGCATCTGCATCCTCTTCTTCACTTTCCTGCCACAAAGACAGAATTCATGGTTAACATGGGACAGAAGACTAACAATGCAAGAAACATTGAACTTCCATTACAACTCAGTTTCGTAACCCTCTCTCCAACAGGGACATTGCACTTTAGTAGCTTGCATAGGCCGGAAATACCAAGTATCTCTAATATTCTAATTATCTGTGCCTCCTCCATGATTTCTGGCCCATGCCATGACTATCTATGCATAACAGATAACATCCTTTCTTTAGTAAAACAATCACATCTAATAAATGTAAGCTTGTACATAGCAGCTACAATCTTCTCAATCACATTTATCAAACGTGGGCTGATAAGATTTTTCTTTTTTTTGGAGAGACACTCACCTCTCCTGATCCTGCTGCAAAGTCAACTGTGGAGGATCGCCTTTTCTTCTGCACAAAAATGGATTTCCGTCGTTTCCTCCGCCTAGTTGGCTTAGGGGGCCCAATTTCGGCATTGTTTTCTCCAATTGGGGGTTTGACAATCTTCCTTCTCTTTCCATAATAATAAGCTATTAGGAAAAGTAAAATCAAAAACTTAATGAACAAAACATTTCCATAAGTAATTCATTTACTAACATGCCATTTGCTCTGCTCTCCATACAGATGAAGAATCCTGGGCATTTTCTCTGGCTATTCCCTAGGTGTGGACTGCTCTCCCTCCTCAACCCTGCCTACTGACTTCCCGGGCTTCCTTGAAGTCCCAACTAAAATCCCATCTTTTCATAGGAAATCACGCTTCAAAGAGACCTTAAAGAACATGGGGCATGTCTTTTCATTGGTTTTGACCAGATGGTGGGCAGGGTCAAAACTGTCATCAGTATCTAGACACGCTCAGTTCTTTATACTGTTTACTGTAACAACAATCTCTATCAACTGCAGTGTTCTTACCACTGGTACCTAGGTCTCAATTTTGGAGGACAGATATATAGAGTGTTCCTGAAGAGACCTCCACTCCATTTCCTAATCTGAGGAAGACAAAAATGTATTGATTTCAGAGCACAGGGCAAAGTATCTTGTAACACTTACTAGCTATGTGATCCTGGGTAAGTCACTTACCTCTAGCTGCCTTAGTTTCCTCATCTGAAAAATGGGAGTAATAATAGCACCTACCTCCCATGGTTAGTGAGGACAAAATAATATTTGTAAATGGTGCAAACTTTAAAGTGCTATAAAATATTAGCTATTATTATTATTATTAAAAAATGGCTTTCTTCCAACTCAACTACTTAATAGAATAGAGAACTCAGCTCTCTGACATATTAAATAGTGAGGAGTAGTTATCAGTATAAATGCCAACATTCCAGGGAGAAATAGGTGTCTTAGATCAGCACTGATGAATAATGTATTCATTAATACAAACTAAATTCATAATCAATTACTCAATTAAAATCACTGCTGAGAATGAAATACTTATGGTCATGATCAAGAGAGCTCATTAATTAATCAGAAGCTCATTTGTCCCACTATGTGGTTCTCATTTTATAAAAGAACAATGAAATGTAGCAAAGGAAGTTTTATGGATGGGGGAGTCATAAGAGAAAAACCCAAATCTTTCTCCAAATTTCAACTTCGGGTACAATTATCTGCCCCTAATGATCTATATATCCTTAATTCCTGGCCTGTAAGATGATGAGGTAGGACAATATGATTTCTAATATTCTTTCCAAATCATATGATTCCTTAATAAACAAGCTAGAATTTAATCCATACTGATGTCATTCCATGGACAATATTCATTAGTTAAGGAAGTAAATGAGACCAAATAGTTTTAACCCTATTGATTCAGATGAATAACAGCAGAAAATTTCATATGGATGATATTTGTGCTTATAAGATTTTAAATGAAGAATTACATAAATGTGATTTATCATCATCTTTGGATCAGACTCTTAATAGAGGCAAAATACCCCCTAACAACCTGGAATTATCTTAGAGAACTCTCTCTCTATTTCTCCTGGGACACAAGTTGCTGAGCATACATAAACTACGGCCACATGAACAATACCTCATATTTATTTAGCTGAATGTACAAGATAGAAATGAACAAGTATCCATTTGTGGTGGCAAATTCCAAAATGGGCATGCAGAGTCTGTTGAAATCTGATTTTTGGAAGTAAGACTATAGAAATCAGGATTGGTTTTACAGAATGAAGTAAGAAGTGTGGCATCTTTTAAAGCTTTTGAACTGGCTGTTTTTGAATGACTGTTATAGCTTATTGTTCAAAATTCCATCTAAAGATTGTTTTATCATCTTCCCTCTGGCTCTTTATAAATTCAATTCAGCCATCAGCAATATTCATTGTGAACTGACCCAAGGGATGTTAAAAGATTTTGCAGCTTATAATGCCAGACCTAAAAAAATCTTTAGTTTCATTTTCAATAGTATTTAATTTTAATTGCAATTGCCTGCTTTTTCCCCCAAGCCTGAGAAGGAAAGAGTGGCTTATTTTTCCTCTCCATAAAAGAGCCAAGTTTAGTGTTCAGTCACGTCCTGCGGTACTCACTAAGGGTGGCTACTGAGTGGACCACAATACTGTGAGTACTAAAACACTTTTACAACTCACTGTAATCTTACAGAGGGAGTCCTAGTTTTATAGACATTCAATTCAATTCAAACATTTATAAAGCTTCCTCTATATACAAGCCATTATGCCGGGTTCGAGAGGAATATAAAGATAAAACAAAATATGGTCCCTACTCTAGAACACATAATAATTTAATAGGGGAAAAAAAGACACGTAAACAATTATTACATACATACAAATAACTAATAAGATGTTATATATATGTACATATGCATGTGTTTATATGTGTGTATTTGACATATACATCATATATATCCACACAGACACAGTGAGTGTGTCTATGTGTACACGTGCACATGTGTGCATATAACACAAGTTTGAGAACTGATGGGAATTCTGGCATTTGTAGAGGGACAAGCATCCCCTCTCGGCCCTAACAGAAACTTAGGGCTGCTGATCTTTGAAATGAAGGCAGATCTGAGTCATGCCTTGCAATACTTACAGGGACACACACATTCTTCAAGGGACAAATAGAGAGGAGGCAAAGGGGATAGTAAGTGCTGAAGACCAGCAGCAACAGGGAACAGTATCCACAGTCTTTAATGAGCTGAGTTAGAAAGATTTGCCAGCAGAGTGATAACGAGTTAAAGGAAAAATTGAAAGGAAGCCTGAGCTGTGTCAGAGAAGGGAGAGATGGAGGTGGGACACAAGACCCTGTAAGCATCTCAGAACAGAGGATACAGGGTACTTCTTGTATTTACTACTTCAAGGCCAGAGGGATATTCTTAACAAGTTCTGCTTTTTCCCCAACTTCCCCCCTTCTGTGACTGTTCAATAATACACTATAATACACTCTGCTCACTTTGTTTACCTAAATGTTTCCTGAGTCCTGTTATTACCTCAAACATAAAGATACTAGGGATTGGCTAGAGATACATAAAACTGAAGGTGAGGATTTTTTTTTTTTTTAAACTGGAGGCTCTGAGCTATTGTGATTGTACTAATATGTTTTCATCTGATACAAAAATCCATAAAACAGCAGAGAAAGAGACCATGTAGACCAGAAAGCCATCATATTGCCCCTAAAAGAAAAATGAGCTAGAAGTTATAATCCGTTTGGCTCAATAAACAATCAGACTCTGATGTGAGAAAGGAAAGAGGGCCTGATGGAAGTAGGTAAGGTACAGGTAAAATATGTAAGGGTACATAAGGACATATAGGTGATACAGTGGATAGAGTGCCAGGCCTGGAGTCAAAAACACCTGAGTTCAAATCCGGCCTCAGATACTAACCAAGTAACCCTGGGCAAGTCACTTAACCCTGTTTGCCTCAGTTTCTCCATCTGTAAGCTGGAGAAGGAAACAGCAAACCACTCCAGTATCTTTGCCAAAAATCCTCAAATAGGGTCACGAAGAATCAGACACAACTGAACAATCACAACAAAGGTAAGATTCAGGCCTGCCCCTACCAGAAGAGAGGAGGGAACAGAAATGAAAGCACAATCTGCATCACCACTCAAGGGTGCTGCACAAATAACTACAACGTAAAGCAGAATGAGACATATGCCTAAAAGAGGTCCAATGTGCTGTGAGAACTCAGAGAAGAACAGTGGAAAGGTTAATTGAAGAGGAGGCATTTAGGTTAGTCCCAGAAGGCTGGGAGAGGATTCTCATGAGTCAGGGATGACGTGAATAATGGCACCCAGGTAAGACATATAGGGATAGCTCAACAGAGCTGGAATATACGTCATTTGAAGAAGAGTGGAAGAAAAGCTTGGAGAGGTATGGAGATAGGAATAGTGTTGTAGGAGTAATACTGTACGGTGATCTTGTACAAGGTGATACTCCTATGCAGTAGACATTGCCTTCTCTTAGAGCTAATCATCTGCCAGTACAAACTGGCTGGACTTTTGGGGGGGGGGGAACAATGGCAGGTGGCAGTTTCAGTTATAAACCGTATCTGATGCCCATCCTGTTCTATAAGCCTCACTGACTCATGACATTTTCATGGTTCTCAGGCTGCTGGCCTTGTGACAGATAGCTCTATGAACCAAGGCAAGAGGCAGTCTTTGCAGGAGAACACCTGGCACTAGGTACACACTTAATGAAACCACACATCCCTGCAGGAATCCAGTCACTCTGGGTAGCATATTTCTTCACTTAAGGCACTGCTTCTCAAATGATCTATGTCCCTCAAAATATTTAGCTAAGTGGTTTATAAACTATGTCACTGACAAACCTGATGAATACAATTACTACTACCACCACCACTGAATGTATGTTAAACAAATTTAATCCACGCAACACAAATATTCTTTTTCTTATTTTATATATTGTTGTCTTTAAGAATTTTTGAAATCATTCAACTCCTGAGATTCTATTTGATTTGGAACAACTTCCATCCTCCTCCCAATCATTTCTCTCATTGCCTCTTACTATTCTATTTAATAGAACTAGTCTAAGAGGCACTGTAGTTCAGTGGATAAAGAATCAGCCCCAGAATCAGAAAGACTTAGGCTCAAGTTCTGACTTTCCTTTCTGTACCCAAAGCAGCTGTTGATTTTTCAATGACAGAGGGAGTTCACCAAAATAATAAAATCACCAGTTGGGTCTAAACCCTCTTCCCAACTCAAAACATTAATATCTGTTTAGAACAGATACTCCCATAGAATTATCCCACAGACATTCCTGTAAAAAAAATTGGAAAATGACTAGAAATAAGAAGCAGAGTGGATTATAGTGTGTATAGGGTTTTCTTGGGAGGAAGAGGAGGGGGAAGGGGAGATGAGAGGAAGGAATATTGGCTTGCACTAGTTCCACAATTAGGACTTACTGTATTTGGTTTTGGTGTGGATGGAACAGTTTTCTGGGCAGATTTCAGTAACCAGAACAGGACTAAACAGATTTGGACAACATTCCAGCTTGGCACAAACTCTCTTGCAGAAATCTGCTACTTGGTCAGATGTTCGTACAATCTTGACAACTGCCCTGTATGTTTTGCCTCTGTACCTAGGAAAATAGGGAAAAAAAATTGAAACCCCAACTTTTATTCATAGGGACAGATTCTAGATCATGCTCCACAGATATTATATCATATTTTAAATAATAAAGCAATTGTAAAGTTGGTTTACTTTATTTGGTTTCATATTTGTTTGTAAATTCAATGAAGCTCAACCAATACGTATGCACCTATTAAGTAAAAGGAACCTTCTACCCTCCACCCCCACTCACCCACATATGAGTATGAGGTCGTAGAGGAATAAAGATAAAATCAGACATTTGCTCAGATTTTAGAATACAACAGAAATAGTAACACTTGCACAAAATAACAAAATATACATTAGTCATTAAGTGCAAAGGAGTGGGGCTGTGCAAAATGTTAGAAGAAATTTAGATGGTGAAATCAATTCTAGTTGAGGAAATAAGGCAAAGCTACATGGGAGAAATGTCCAACTCCATAAGCTGGGCCTTGAAGGAAGGGAAGGATTTCAAACAGCAGTGATGAATGGTAGCAGAGGGAATTTTATTTCAAAAATGGTAGACAAGAAGATAAGGCATGATAAGGGAAGAATGAAAAATGAGAATGTAGGAGTCAGTGAGTGGCAAACTTATCAACAAGTATTTTTAGGCTGTAATAACAATGAATTTTGTTTATAAATGGTTAGTGATATGAAGGAAATGTTAAAACAATCCACTATAATAAAATTTTCCATTAAGTATATTCTCATTTGGTAATGTGCAATTTAATACATGGGGCATAACTAATGAACATTAGTACCAAAAATAAATGTTATGAAATGAAACTTGGGCTTTTATTATCACATTTAATTTTTGAAAAATTATGTACAGAAGTAATTATGTTACTACTGTGAAAACTATGCAGTTTAGGACAAAGAAATCTTATCTTGGTAAAAATTGCATATCTGCTTCTAGAAATTCAACTGATTTTTATTATTCAAAAACAGCATTTCTGCAAAGAAGTGACAGGGAGAAAGACCTACCTACAATGCAAGGTCACTTTTTTAAAAGAAGACAAACACACTGAAGAAATAAACCAAAGAACAAGCCCTGGGCAAATCTCAAGTGTGAGGAAAAACAAAGATGAGGCAGTCCCAGCATCGGTTCTGAACAGACATATGGCCATAGCAAAGACTTCTGGATCTCACATTTAGTGTTATAGTTCAAAGATTACTTGGTTACTTATTAAAGCTAGGAGAGGTAATTTGTAAACAGTCATGATTTTGGGAGATAAAGCAAGAAGATGCAACTTTGGGAAAGCCAGAAATCTTCCTCCAATCCAAGCTTCTTCACTGTAGAAGCTAATAGGAAAGCTACATCTTAGGTTACCACTTATCCCAATTTACCGACAAGAGGATATCCTGCAGAAGTAGGTAGAGTTCCCCATTGTCGCTTTGTTGCTTCTTAAGTTTGTCCCAGTGTCTCTACTTGTTCTCTAAAATGCAGCCATTCTAAACAACAATACCAGTGGTAGGCCCATGCCCCAAAGAGAACAAAGAAGGAGGAAAAGAACACCGTCTCACAAAAATGTTTATAGTAGCTCTTTTTGTAATGGCAAAGAACTAGAATCAACAGAGGGGAAGGGAGCTATACCCATCAACTGGGGAATAGCTGAATAAATTATGATATATGAATGTCTCAGTATTAATTGTACCACAAGAAATGATGAAAGGTATGGTTTCAGTGAAACCTGGGGAAGATTTGTGTGAAGTGATGCAGAGTGAAGTGAGCAGAACTAGAACAATGTATATAATAACAACATTAAAAAAAAACTCAAACAATTTTGAAAGACCTAAGAAACTCTTAAGAACTTAAGAACAATGCAATGACCAACCATGATTCCAGAGGATTTATGATGAAGCATAGTTGTACAACAGAGGTGATGGGTACAGACTAAGACATGTTTTAGACGTGGCAAAGAGGAGAATTTGTATTGCTTGACTTCATATTTGTTACGATGTTTTGGTTTTTAATAAGGGGTACGAAGGAAAGGAGATAGATTTTTGCTAATTAAAAAAATTAGAAAATATTTGATGTATCCATTCTAACTGTAATTCCCTTCAGAAAGTCTCACTCTGAGGGGAAAAGACCAGGGGAGGCCAAATTATACCTGTTAAATCACTATTCTCATCTCTTTTGTTGAGCAATGGTGCAAACAGATCAAGTGTTTCTCCCCTTGGCAGTGGCCACTGTTTCTTCTAAGTCAGGTCCTTTTATGGTCTCAGTTCTATAATTTTTCCTAAGGTCATCCTCAGGAGTTTTCCTCTTTTCTTAGAAGTGAAGGCATCACCTTTTTTTTTTTTAAATCTAGAAGAAATTTCAATGAATACCCTGAGGGTGACAACAAAGGTTCTATTATCTAAGTTTTCCTAAATGTTTATTTCAATACACAGTAATTTGATCACTGGAACTTACCATCCTTTGAAGTTAATCTCAGTGTCATTGATCTGGGATAGAAGGACTCAAGAAATTATTCTAATGCCCTTTATTGACATAATTCCTTATAACATTTATCCATTCATTTCAATCCTAGAATACTGTAGTGGCATAGTAAGGCTTACGACCATCTCTTTTCTGATGAAGGGAAACATTCATTGAAAGGTTATGTGACCTGCCCAAATTCAGTAGGCATTTTGATGCCCAGCTCAGAGCTATTTGTTGAAGAATGTGCTGTTGCCTTACAGAAACCACATGACTTACGTGACAAAGAACAACTCGTCACTCTTGACAAAATCTTTGGTTATGATGATGGTATGGGTTCTCTTTCTTAAGTAGATGGAAGATATTGCCCACAATCTATAGACTACTTCCTCAGGTCATTTGCCCTTGTTCTATCTTTCAACATGCCTCCAATTCTTTATGCTCTTTAACAGCACATTAAAAGTAGTTGAGTGATTATAGCCACCATTTCTTTCTACACCTTGGGATATAGGTATCATCTTATGTTCGACTCTCTATCAGTTATTTTTTGTGTTGTTCTTTTCAGTTCAAAGATTATTTCCATGGCAGAAGAAGAAAGGAAAATAGAGTTGAATAGTTCTGTCTTTTATCCATCATTCCTTATCAAGGTCCCATTTACTCTGTGCAACAGGGCTATACTTTTCTCTGATATTCCTTATTTCCCAACGATGCCTTCAGTGACTACTCTTTCAAATCCCAATTCTAGCTTACCTTTCTGATCAACCCCTCTGGTGTGCAAAACTTAACTTTCTATGTAACAGGAATCAAAAAAAAATCCTTGGTAATAAGACCACATTCTAAGCCCTAAACTTCTATAAAGTTATTTTTTCTTTGGATTCGAGAACTTCTTCTTTAGCTTTAATAGGGCTTCTGTGATTCACTCCTGGGCGGCTCTCACCCATGACATTCATTGTGTTTCAAAATGAAAACAGAATCAAATTGTGTAGGTAAAACGAACTACAAAAATGCATTGGGAGTGAGGTTAAAATGACATCCAATATGTACATTTGTCCTTTGTTGTTGTCATCCCTTATTTATATAGTCCTTGGGAAGGTTGGGTCTAAACAGCTAAACACCAGGCTTTTGGGTGACGTTTTAAAATTATAGAAAAGTAGAAGTATGGGGCCTGGGTGAAATCCGGGTCAAGGCTTAAAGTGGGGAACTTGGGGCTCACAAATACATGCATGTTTACGGAATTCTCTAACAATTGAGTCTCTGGCTGCCCCAAATGGATGAATAAGTTATGCTATAACCAATGTGCATACTGGGGGAAAGAGTAAAGTGTCTATGAGAAAAGACAGGGGGTGTATTACAACATTTTTTTGGGGGGGCCAGAGATAATTTCTTAGGATTCAGCTGGAAAGTACTACAAGAAATCTTCCGAAGATAGATTAATTATAAACTATTCATAAATCAGTACAGTTTCAATAAACATTAAGCACCTAGTATAGGCAGAATTTTGATGCTGTAGAAATGCTATTATCATTACCATTATCGTTATTATTATGTTTGTCAGCTAATGAGGATGCAAAGATAACTAAGATGTTAAGCCTGCTGTGAAGGACCTTATAATGTAGTAGGGGAGATAAGACGTGCAAAAATAATGACAGAATATGATAAACGAAGAGACAAAGTACAAAACATTATAAGAATTCTGACTGGGGCAAGGGAAAGGGGTGACTGAGGATGATTTCAAGAAGAAGGTAGCACCATTTGAGGTGTGAGGTGTCTTTAAAGACGGGTAGAAACTTGACGACTAGTAAATAAAGAGAGGCCCAGGGTATTTGAATTTCTGGCATTAAGGAGCTGAACTTGGTATTGATGAAGATAACAAAATGGACAGTTTGTATATGCAGAGTGCTTAAATAGTTTTTCAAATTGTTGTTCAGTTGTTTCAGTCATGTTTGACTCTTCTTGTACCCACTTGGGGTTTTCTTTGCAGAGATACTGGAGTAGTCTGCCATTTCTTTCTCCAGCTCATTTTAAGGATGAAGAAACTGAGGCAAACAGGGTTTAAGTGACTTGTCCAGAGTCACACAGCTAGAAAGTGTCTCAGGAAAGATTTGAACTCAGGAAGACAAGTCTTCCTGACCCCAGGCCTGGCACTCTAACCACTGTACCACTCCCTGACTCTACAGTTTTTCAAATACGTTCATATATTTTTTCTTGCTTAGTCCTGTAGGAAAGCTATTATAAATATTCCCATTTTACAGATGAGGGAACTAAGATTCACAGCACACTTTCATAACTTATCTAGGGCAAAAGTCCCGAGTGGTCTCTATTGACATCTAACTTATCTAGGGTCATATAACTGATCAGGTAGTGTCAGGACTATAACCCAGAACTCTTTGATTCCTGATCATACTTTATCATATTGCAAAGGAACATCAGAATTAATTGTAGGATTTATCCAGTGAAATTCTCCCTAGGGTGAGGGGAATTGTATGAGGAAGCGATGACACCTTTGTTTTGTAGACTGGATTTATGAAGAGATACTGCTGAAAAGCCATGGTTTCACATTTTCTACTTCC